AAGAAAATAATCCCATTTATAATTGCATCAAAATATTAAAATACCTAGGAAGAGGGGCACCCACGTGGCTCAGTTGGTGAAGCATCTGACAAGCTCAGGTCATGATCTCAAGGTCCTGGGATTGAACCTTGGGTCAGGCTCACTGCTCAGCAGGGAGTTGGCTTCTCCTTCCCCTTCTCCCTCTGCCCCTCCCCTCGCTCATATACATAGGAAGAAATTTCACTCAAGAGGTAAAAGTACTGTACACTCAAAAGTACTGATGAAAGAAATGAAGGAAGTAAAAAATAAATGTGTTCATAGATTGGGAGAATTAATATTGTTAGTATGTTAATACTGCCGAAAGCAATCTACAGGTTCGGTGCAACCCCTATCAACATTCCAATTGCATTTTTCACAGGAATAGAACAATCTTAAAATTTGCATGGGTCCACAAAAGACTTTAAAGAGAGAAAACCATCTGGAAAAAGAAGAACAAAGCTGGAGGCATCACATTTCCTGATTTCAATCTATATCACAAAGCAGTAGCAATCAAAACAGTATGGTACCGGTATAAAAATAGACATACATTTCAATGGAACATAATGGAAAGCCTAGAAATAAACCCATGCACATATAGTCAATTTCTTTGTGACAAAGGAGCCAAGAATATACAATGGGGAAAGGACAGTCTCTTCAATAAATGGTGTTGGGAAAACTGGACAGCCACATGGAAAGAATGAAACTAGACTATGATCTTATACAATACACAAAAATGGACTCAAAATGTATTAAAGATTTGAATTTAAGACCCAAAACCATAAAACTCTTAGATCACGACTTGGGGGTAAGTTCCTTGACATAGATCTTGGCAATGATTTTTTGGATTTGATGCCAAAAGCAAAAGAAATCAAAGCAAAAATAAACAAGTGGGACTACACCAAACTGAAAAGCTTCTACACCAAAAAAGAAAACCATTAACACAATGAAAAAGGCATTCTTCTGAAAGGGAGGAAATATTTGCAAATTATACATCTATTAAAAGATTGATATCCAAAATCCATAATGAACACCTACAACTCGGCAAAGAAAACAAACAATCCAGTTAAAAAAGGGCAGAGTAACTGAATAGATACTTATCCAAAGAAGACATACAAATGGCCAATAGGTACATGAAAAAGGTGCTCTACATGACTAATCATCAAGGTAATGTAAGACAAAACTCAGAGATCTCAATCATACCTGTTAGAATGGTTATCATCAAAAGACAAGAGATGTGGGAGCCTGGGTGTCTCAGTCTGTTGAGCAACTGACTCTTGATTTCAGTTCAGGTCATGATCTCAGGGTCATGAGATCAAGCCCTGTCTTGGGCTCTGTGCTCATTGGGAGTCTGCTCTTCTCCCTCTGTCCCTCCCACTGTTCGTGTGCATGTGCACACTCTCTCTCTCTCTCTGTAAAATAAATAAATAAATCTTTAGGGGAAAAAAAAGAAAATAACAAGTACTGGTGAGGATGTGAAGATAAGAGAAACCATGTGCACTGTTGGTGGAAATGTAAATTGGTACAGCCACTATGGAAAACGGTATGGCGATTTCTTAAGAAAAAATTAAATATAGAACTATCTTATGATCCACCAGTTCACTGTTCAGTAGTAAATCCATAAGAAATGAAAACAGGATATCAAAGAGATATTTGCACTCCCATGTTTATCATAGCATTATTCAGAATAGTTAATATGTGGAAACAACCTAATCTCAGCCAGTGGATAAATGGGTAAGAAGATGTGATGTGCGCGTGTGCGCACACACACGCACACGAATATTATACAGTCATGAGAAAGTCCTGCCATTTGTGACAACATAGGTGGACCTTCAGGGCATTATGCAAACTGAAATAAGCCAGACAGAGAAAGATAAGTACTTGCATGGTATCACTTATTAAGTGGAATCTAAAAACAAAAAAGAAGTCAAACTCATAGAAACAGAGAGTAAAAAAGTGGTTGCCAGTGCCAGTTGTCTATATATGGAGAAATGTGATAAAAGGGTACCAGGTATAAAATGAATAAGTTCTGAGGATTTAAAGTAAAAGATGAGTAAGTTCTGAGGATTTAAAGTAAAATACAGTAATAGCTACTACCTTTGAGCTTTGATAAACTATAATAGTTTTCAGATTGAAGAACAAAAAAAATTCTGACATTGGTGTAAAAAGGAAAAGTAAAACACAGTGACATGTTGTTAACATTGTTTTGTACAATTGAAATTTGCTAAAAGAGTAGAGCTTTAATATTCTCATATACACACACAAAAGTTAAATATGTGTGGTAATGGATTTGTTAATTAACTAGATGGGAGGAATCCTTTCACAATGTATATCAAATCACCACAATATACACTTTAAATATCTTAGTAAATCTGTCAATTATACTTCCATGGAACTTAAAAAAAAAAGTTAATTTGTTTGTATACAAACAGAGCCTTATTGAACTGCCTGCGTGACCTTCATTTTTTTTTTTTTTTTAAATAATGTGGTATGGGGGTGCCTGAGTGGCTCAGCCAGTTAAGCAGTTGCCTTTCCTGAGACCGAGCCCCAGGTCAGGCTCCCTGTTCATTGGGGAGTTGGCTTCTCCCTGTCTCTCTGCTGCTCCCCCTGCTTGTGCTCTCTCACTTGCACTCTCTCTCTCTCTCTCTCAAATTAATAAATAAAATCTTTTAAGAAAATAATGTGGTACAGGTTTTTACTAGAATTATGATTGTTGAATAGAAGTCATGGTGTTTCCATTCCTAAGTTTTGTTGCATATGATGAGAATTTCTCTGGGCAGATTTGAACAGAGATATTCTGTGAAGCACCAGTACAGCTCCTAATAACTAAAAGCAAGCTCAAATGCTGATTCTATCTTATGGCTCTAGATATTCCCACATGCAGAGAACTGTTCTGCATTTATTTTTACTCTATCTTTTTACTTTTCATCTTATAATTCCTACAGTTTACTTGTGAGATTCTACAGTTTACTTGGGGATGTGGCCTTAACCGTATACTGCTTTCAGATTGCATTTTTTCTTTTTTTCTTTTTTCTTTTCTTCACAGTCATAGGATTGAAAAACCAACATTTGACAAATAACTGTCTAGATCATTGCACAAAGAATACAGTGTTTTGCCTTTTTTCTGTATTTATTATGAGTTTCTTTTTAAGTAGTACTCTCTAAGAGGCAGTTGATACATCATTGAAGCTAAGCTTATGAACTCTGGAGCCAGACTGCCTGGGTGTGCATCCAGGTGTGCCACTTATCACATGTCTCACCTTGCATAGGTGTTGAATTTCTCAGTGCCTCAGTTTATCATGTGTAAAATGAGGATGACAATAGTACCTACTTTTATACTGTTGTTTAGAGAAGGAGTATAAATGAGTTACTTTCTGTAAACAGAAGGCTATGAAGCGGAGCTTACACATATATTAAGTAGAGATAGACATTTTTATAAAGTAGAGGTTCTTTGGCATATTTGTGATTATGAGAATTATATATATATTTATATGCTACACATTCAGAAATAATAGTGCTATTGAAAAACAAGTGTCTATAGAAAAACAAAGTCGGTAGTATGATAATATACATAATATGTATAAAAATAAGAACTTTCAGTCATTTCAGTGGAAAAAACATAAGGTGCCAAGTAAAAATCATAACAAAATCAGTAACACCAATGACTATTTCTTGAAGGTTTAAATGCTGGGCACTATGATAAGTCTTTTCTGGTTTCAACAACTTATTTCATCATCTGGCTAGTTATGTAATATTGGAGAATTTCCTTAACCTCTCTCTAAGCTCTGGTTTTTATCATCTATTTGGTAATTATTGATACTTGTTCTTTCTTAATAAAGGTATATTATTAGAATAAAATGATCTTATTCTGTCTACAAAATGATCTCTTTTATCTGTCTTCAGTACATTATCTGTGTACTGAAATGATCAGTGAGCTGGTACATAATTGTGTGAGATAATATATTGATAAATTATGTAGCATGTGGTCATAATGGTGGTTAACAACTGATCCTTACTTTTCTTGAGAGCACAGATGTGTTAGGAGCTGCTGACTTCTCTGACCCTAGGTAGCTTACTGAATCAAAAATATTTGTATATATATGTTCATATGCATTTATAATATACATATAAATGAATATACATATTATATATGATTTAATATATGTTAATATAAGCATTGTATTATGTTAATATAAAATATACTTATTTATTATATCATATAATATATAACAATGTAATTATATAACAATATGTAATTATAATATATAATGTACATTATATATAATATATAAATATTATAATAATATAATTGATATGTTAGTGTAGTAACATATAATAGTATAATATATATATTATTCATTGATGGGGAAGGGTTTTTATGAAGTATGTCCATTTTTATGAATCATCTTCTTGCCATACATGGAAGTTTATTTTTATAATGTTGGTATCCTTGCTGTGTGCTTGTGATTAAAACTCAATTGTCTCTGTGGTCCAAATAATAAGCCCATACCCAAATTTTCTTATTTAATGTTCTGCCTATCAGCAATTTGCAGGTTTTATTCTTGACTATAATTCTGACCACACTTTAATTTATATGTTTTGTCAGATTGTGAGGCTCCCTCATGGCATGGCTCATTGCCTTCTTTGCATTACTGGCATCTAGCACTTTGCTAGGTAGAACAGGAAAGAAGTGATCTGTATATGTTTATGGGATAAATAAACGACGAAAGAATAGAAAGGAAGTCAAATTGATCTGAGAGTAGCTTGTATTTCTAAGAATCAAGAAACTGAGCTTCCAAGAAATCTTTAAAAAGATTACTGATCTAGGAGGATTGGGCCTCTAGGAAGACAATGTAATGCCAAATAAGTTAGAATTTGTATGTTTTATGTATTTGTCTCTGGTTGGAGAATATAAAATATAAATGTTCCAACTATTTTGAAACGTTTCTTTTAACTAACTTAATACATTATAATTCATTAAACAGAGGCGGGCTAGCAGAAAGACTAAATGGCCTGCAGAATCGAGAGAGATCTGCCATTTCTTTGTGGAGACATCAATGTGTTTCTTACCAAAAGACACTTTCAGGTAAGGCCTGCACTGACATCTGAGGCTGTGGGTAAAGAATGTGCCAATTGAAAGTATTTTACATTAAGATATATAAATTTGATCATTACTATTTTTATGACGTTTTCTTTTTCTCCAGGTGTCCTTTAGGTCTCAGAAATTGTTCTGAAAGATGAGTCCGTTCTTACAAGGTCTACTGATCCCTCCCCATAGAACTTCTCACAGTTCAATAGAAGACTTATTATTGATCTTACTTGGAGGGTTCTGTATTAGGCCTTTCTTTTGTTGTATCTTTTGCTGTATCTGAAAGCCAGTAGCTTTCAGACTTTTGTGACTGCGACCCCTAGTAAGAAATACATCTTATATCTTCTCCCAGTGCACACATGACTTACATGCACACACACACACACACGCACACCCCTGAAACAAACATTTTATAAACGACACTAACCTTACTAGGTTTGATATATTCTTCATTCTCTTTTATTTTTACCATAATCCTAGTGTCACTAAATTGATGTAGGTTTCTTCTAATGAGTTGCAAGATGTAGTTTGAAAGTTGCTACTACAAGCAAGTGACTGGAAACTCTTGTTTCTTAACAAATTGTTTGATCTTAAAAATATTTCATATACCTAGAAAAGTTTCCTTTCCTGTGAGACTGTGTTCTTTTTTACGGTTTCTTCCTGAGTGGTCTCTCCATCAGGAGGTGGGGAAGAAGTGGGTGAACATGGTGTCTATTCCAAATCTATTAATAGTTTTCTCTCCAGGGGGATCCTTGGAATGGCTCACAGGTTATTTTGGCAAATGTTAGCATGCAAAATAGAACAAGAGTGCTAGGTAGAATACTGAACTAGTATGTTGTCAACTCTTGCACATTTCTCTGGAAGACTTTTTAAGTCTGATCTCATTTATTATCTTCAAAATACTTCTCAGCTGGCACCTGGGTGTCTCAGTTGATGGAGCATCTGACCCTTGATCTCAGTGTTGTGAGTTTGAGCCCCAGGTTAGGTGTAGAGATTACTTAAAATTTTTAAATCTTAAAAATAAAATAGGGGTGCCTGGGTGGCTCAGTCGGTTAAGTGCCCAACTCTTGGTTTTGTCTCAGGTCCTGATCTTATGGGTCATGAGATCAAGTCCCACATAGGACTCCATGCTCAGCAGGAGTCTGCTTGGATATTCTCTCCCTCTTCTCCACTCATTTGTTTGTCTCTCTCAAATATATAAATCTTAATAAAATAAAATAAAATAAAATCCTTTCCAGTTATCTTTTAGCAACTGTCTTTTCTCTTTCACATTCTTGTATTAGAGTATTATAATACATATCAGGATGACCCAAGAATACTTTTTTGTTACACAGTGCTATGGATCAGCCTGTTGTTACATTTATTACTTTGTATCTTGTCATTTTTTTAAAACAAGGATTATATTAATCATCTTTACAACTCATTTGATCAGTCAGAAAGCCAAGCATATATAAAGGTTGACAAGTTGTATTACTCAGGGAAGTCAGTAATACTCTGGCTTAAGCACAAAAAAGAATTTAATAGTGCTTGTAATTGAAAGCCACAGGGAGAAGATTTCATGCTTCAGGCATATTGGTCTGAAAAGGTTGTCAGGTCTTTTCCATGTGGTAATTCACAGCTACAAGTCCAATAAAAAGAAGGCTTTCTTTTTCAGTATTTTACCAGAAATTCTGAAGTGATTTTCATTGATCTGCTGAGACATGTATCCGTCCTTGAACTAATCAGTGTTGAAGTAGAATATAATAAATAGCACTGTACTAGCCCTATGATTAACTTGTGATCTTTTTTTATTAAGACTTATTTAATAAAAATTAGCAAGTACCATTTATGGTTTAATAATATATTATCTCATTTTAGTGATCTTTCATGTTCTCCTATTTGTAAATACTTATATATACATACTTAACCTCTCAAATATGAATGTCCTTGACTTGGAGAGATCACTTTCTCCTATAACCTATTCACCTCCACCGCTAACTAGTTCTGTTTAGCTTTGTGTCATTTTCAGTTTGGTTTGGGATTCTGTGCATTTAAAATTTCTTTTGTTCTTGAACCAGAAAAACAAGGCTTTGCCATCTATTTCTCTTTGTTCCTGTTCTGCTTTTGCCTCCCTTCCTTTGAAGTAATCATATAGGAGAATAGTAAGCTTGGATTTCTTTTTGAGTGGATATAAATATTTATGTTATTAAATTTCAGTGCGGCAACTTTTATTTCTTAGTGATATAGACTAGCTTTATATTGAGAGGTTGGGATGCGGTCATAAGCCACAAAATGGTAAAAACAAGATGGGAAGAATGGAGGACAAGAAGAGGATGGCAAACAGAGTAACTGGGATACTTAGCTTTTCCTTGGACTCTGGCCACTGTACACTTAAAAAGCCGAACATTAGAAGTGCCATCTATATGCTACATTAGTGTTCATGCCACACCCTTTTTTCCTTTCCCTAACAAAAAGGTAGAATGTTAATTCTTGAGGGTTCTTAGAGATCTTATAGTATCAGCTTCTTTTGGGGGGATGGAGAGAGTATGTGGCCTAGAAGAGGGAAATGACTTGCTCTGATTATTCAGATTAACAGAAGGAACAGGGCTAGAACCCCAGCCACCTGACTGCCAGTGTCATGCTCTTTCAGTGGAACCACTTTCTGCCTCATAAAAATAATTTTTTCACTCCTCTACCAATTTGCTCTTGATATTACATTAAGGAATAAACAGACACCCCAGATTGGACTTTATGTGTCCAGTATGGTATCTGTCCTGAATTTTGTTGACTTTATAGCCTTGCAATATTGTAAATATCCTCAAGGTGAGAGGAAGACTTGGACAGACTTTAATTTGGACCATAAATTCCTAAGAAATAATTGGAGAAAAATAGCTTCTTCTTTTCTCCTTCAACACTGTCCTTGTCATTGTTGTATCACATTTGAAGGTTTACTGTATGGCAGGTATAATGCTGAGGGCTTACTACATATTAAATCATTTAGTATGCAAAATAATGCTCTAAGATTGAATTTGCTTTCCTTATTTTCCAGATGAAAAAGCTGTAGGTCAGGGCACCTGGGTGGCTCAGTTGGTTAAGCACCTGCCTTCTGCTCAGGTCATGATCCCAGGGTCCTGGGATCGAGCCCCACATTGGACTTCCTACTCAGAGGGGAGGCTGCTTCTCCCTCTCCCTCTGCTGCTCCCCCTGCTCGTCCTCCCTCTCTTTCTCTCTCTCTCTCTCCCTCTCTCTCAAATAAATAAATAAATTAAAAAAAGAAAAAAGCTGTAGATGGAATGAATATATGGTATACATGAGTAAGCCCAGGTTTGAGGTTATCTCTGTAGTCTATGTTCTTATTCACCAATCTATGTGGGCCTTCATTAGATGATCTGTTTGGGCTGGGGAAAGGATTTAAGAAGGCAAGTGATTAAGGAACCAGCAAAATTAGAAATACTGATAAAGTGTGTGATTTTGTTTGGGGAAAAAGTAGTCTTTCAGTGTGAAGGTCCATATCACGTTCTTGAGACAGCACTATTTTAAGGAGTCTAGGACATAAATTTGAAGGTTATAAATCATGAATCTTGTGTAGGATACCCTAAAATCTTATGATTTTGATAGGGAGGTGGCAGATTGTCTTCTTAATTATTCATGTTAATATATACTAGAAGTCATTCTACATTGTTGTCCAGGTTTCTCATTACAGTGAATTGACCAAATTGTCAAGCACAGAGTAGAGAGAGTTACCTTCTGGAAGTTGGAATAGAAAAATATGAAGTCAAACAAGTGTGACTATGTGCCTGAAATGAAGGGGAGAAATATGACCTTTTATTTGGCTCAGAAGCACCAAATAGTTTATTTGGAATGTCCCTTATAATTTGGGGGATAGAGGGTATATCAATTATACCATGAATAAAAGACAAAGGCAAAATGAAACAAAAACACAGAATCAAAAATGAATCCATTACTTTGGTATATGAATATGCCCATCTCCAATGGTTTTACTTTCTTTTGTTTTCTAAGTAGGTTCCATGCACAACCTGAGGCTCAAACTGATAACCCTGAGATCAAGAGTCATGTGCTCTACCGACTGAGATTTGGATTTTATTTTTCCTTTCTTTTAGATGAATTTCTTATTTTTCAGGTCTATTAGATCCTCTTCTTGGTGTCTTGTAATACGTTGTGCCATTTTTCTCATTCCTTTTGATATAACTTATTATAAACATGTATTAGGAAGAAAATTTCACTATTTTGTTTACTTTATGGCCTGGCAGAAGTTTTTTCTTTCAGTTTACATTTCTTATTTCTACATATAACTGAGGAAGGTGGAAGCATCACCTTCCAAAGTGATGCCTTAGAAATGCATTTTGAAAGGTGGCTGTGGAATAGGGAATGGATGATTATAGAGCAGAAGAAAAATATTTCCTAGGTTTCTCTTCAGGAACCATTCTATTTTTCTTCTTCCTTTTTGAGAGGAAGCAGGTTTTCCAACACTGCTTTTGATGGCCAGTTTTTATTACGTGATATCCAAAGCATTTCAAGTGTTTGTTAATCCATTTAATCCTAACAATAACCCTTCCAGTTAGGTCTTCTGATACTATTTAAAGATGATGAGAATGTGGACAGGCACAGCCCCGTGTGTCTGGCCAGCAGGTAGCAGAGCCAGATTTGCATCAGACTGTCAGTGGCTTATGATCATAGCCCATCTTGTTCTAGCTAGGTTGTTGGGAGGCAGATCCAGGCAGGCACTGAGAATATATGCCTGTGGCATGACTGAGTTCTGGAGATGTGAGTGTAGCAAAGTCTATGCCCCGATCCCTTGTTCAACCTGTGTTTAGTAAGAGCGTGACAAATACATTCACAATGTTTGATATCTAAGTTTTTTAAACCAGAAATAGTTAAGGATATTCTTGGAAGGACAAAACCTGTGAACTCCTTGTATTGCTTAGGAAGAGAGTAGGGTGAAAAAAGGTAAGTGGAAAAAAAAAAAAGATGTTCTTCAGATAAATTATTTTTCACTA